TTTTAGTGATGAAAAGCACACTGATTTGAACATCTTTGTGGTGAAAAACATACTGATTTGGAAATTCTTGCAAAAATCTGTTATTTGTTGGAATTTCTGACAATTTCAGGACTTATTCAAAATGAATTAAGTTATTATTGAAATGTTTCTTTTTTAAAAAAAAAAATACTTTTTAACATTTTCTACCCCTCCCCCTACTTGTTTAATTTTATGAAATTTCGAGAAATTCATTTTTCTACCGCTTAATGTTTATATTACTTAAAAAAAAACTCTTTGTAGAATTTAATTCATCAATATTTTTTGTTATTATTTAAATGCAGTAACCCCAGTTAGAGAAAATCTTAAAATAAAAAATGCAATAATAATAAGGCATTATTTAATTAAAAATCTTTTATGGGTAAGATATATTATGGACACTAATGTCTTAAGAAAACATTTTTTCGATGAATACTGAATTTTTACAAAAATTGCCTTAATATCTTTTGAAATTTTAATTAGAATAAGTTTAAAGTTAAAAATTCTGTATGAATTCCTAGCGGTTAGATGATATTCTTAGTAATTAAAAACTTTATTTACTAATCATAAATAGAAAAACTTACTACAATCCCATGACCCCCAGTATTTTTTCAAAATTTTTAACTTTTTTTGTGTGCGTATAAAAGGTGACGTTTTTTTAAATAAGAACGTCTATACACCTTAAATATTTTACTAAATTTTTAAGGTTACTTGGTAGTTAAAAATATATATAAAAAAGGTACTTATGATATATTCAAGTAACTTTTATAGATACGAACCTCGTTAAAGAATCACAAACATAAACCTTTCGAGATAGTTGCCAGCATCTTATAAAAACACTCATCTCTGAGTTTAAAAAAAAAAATTTCTGCGATGCACTTAACTAAAAGTAAGTAAGTATTTGTTAATATTGGTTAATCTTTAAATCTGCTAATCTTACTAAAACAGTTTCAGACAAGTATATTTTATTTTTTAAAGATTTCTAATAAAGAGAATCATATTCTGTTGACAGATTCCCTAACGTGACTGATTCAGTTTGAAATACAAAGTATTTTATTTACTAGAAATATTAAACTTAATCTATTACTTTGAAATTTAAAGTAAAATAAAAGCTTCAAAAAATATTTTTCATTATTAAAAATTCATTTTAAACCTTAAGTAACGTTTTCTTGGTGGGGGGTTCCTATATACAAAGAAATGGCTTTCAAAAAATAATGTAAATGTCCTGAAATAGCCAAGAGAGTCCCCAGATTTAAAGCCAATCGAGAATCTGTGGCGTTATTTGAAAATTCAAAACCAATCGAGAGCTTCGACAAACATCCTGGATCTGAAGACCATATGCGAAGAAGAATGGGACAAAATACCAACTAAAATTTGCAAATCAATAATTGAAAACTAAAAGGAGTGGTTGGTTGCTGTAGAAGTGAATAATGGATATTCTACAAAGTATTAAATGAATATAATGTATGCTTTTTGTATTGTACGAATACTTTTTTCAACCATTAAAATGGATAAATGGGATTTATTTCTATTAAAGCAAAACTTTTTTTTTCTGTTTTCTATGCATATTTAGTCATTATGCATCTGTGTAGAATTAATTATAGGAAAAATGTGTTTATTCACTAGTTGAAAATACAATAAATTAAAAATTTGTATGTGTACAAACATCCCCCCACTTCATATATATATATATATATATATATAAATCCTTATATTATAAAAATCCTTTATGATGATGTTTCTTCTGGTGTCAATATATATATATATATATATATATATAGAGAGAGAGATTGTTTTATTCAGAGAGAATGAATTGAGACAGAGACAGACAGATAAATAAATAGATAGACAGACAGCATATCGTCCATTTCACTATCCTTCCCATTCATTTGAAAAGGAGTAAGAGTTATCCATTGTTTCCTGTTTAAATTTCGGTTTCCAGTCGGTCCCTTCTCCTAAAGTCTACTGATTTTTCATCACTCCGAGCAAGTCCTTGTGTCTTAGTATCGCCTTCCTCGGGTGTTTAATAATAATAATAATAATAATAATATATATATATATATATATATATATATATATATATATATAATGGTAATATCATATGGTGCAAAGTTTGGCGATTTTTGGAAAGTTTTTTATATTATTTAGAAAGGCCCTTCTCGTTATAGTCAAGGAATGTCACAATAAGGTTTTTACAACTTTCTCTTTCAGATTCTAAAAACATTTTTTCATCACCACCCTCAATATTCGCATCCATGTTCATTCCATCTAAGGATTACATTCGACACATTTATGAAACTCATACAATAGTATGAGTTTCATAAATGATGTATCAATGCAAATGCAGTAGCAAAGTCTATTCAGAGATCTTATGGAAATGATGCAGTGAATGAAAAAATTGCAGGGGGTGGTTTTCCCGTTTCCGAAATAGGGATTTCATTTTGAAAGACGATCTAAAAAGGTTTGTTAAAAAAAAATTGATTCCCAAGAGGTGGAAGCTGTTGTTACAGACAATCCCACCATTACCTCCAGCGAACTTGCAGAACAATTTAACGTAGACCATACAACCATGCTACCCCAATTAAAAAGGATAGGAAAGGTTTCAGTGGTTGGGAAATGGGTCCCACATGAAATGTCTCCAGAGAATCGGCAACAGCGTGTTGCATGTTGTGAATTATTGCTTTCGCCACACCTTCAGGCGCCATTTTTAGGTAGGCTAACATGTGATGAAATCATTGATCCTTTAACATAACGTTAAACGCAGCCGATCGCGGATCAGTCGAAGAGGAAGATCAGTTCAACAACCAAGAGAAGGATCATGTTGAGCGTATGCTGGGATACTGAAGGAATTCTCCATTACGAACTGTTAAACAACAATCAAACAATTACAGCTAATCTGTACTGTGATCAACTTCGTCGTTTGAAAAAAGCTTTGAACCAAAGGCGACCTTCCTTAGTGAACAAAAATGTGCCATCATCCATCACGATAATGCTTGACCTCACACAACTCAGCTGACTAAAAATCTTTTGGAAGAGCTTCGTTGTAAAATATTGCTTCATCCACCATATTCTCCTGACCTTACTCCTTTTGATTATCACTACAGAATCATTGGAATGGTTTTCGGTTGGCATCAAGGCAAGAGGTTGAGGATGAGTTAGATTCATATTTTGCTTCAAAACCTAAGGAATTTTACAGGCGTGGCAACTGTAAGCTTGTTGACAAATGGAATGATGTTCTAGAAAGCATAATGAGGTTATGTTAACGAATAAATATTTTCATCATCATCATTCTTAATCACTTTTAATATAGACTTTGAAATCAAAAATTACTAACAGAGACCAACCAATATATATATATATATATATATATATATATATATATATATAATTTTTGTATGTATGTATGTATGTATATATATCAGGTTGCTGCATATATCAGGTTATATATATATTAAGCTGTTACATTGGAACATGCAAGTTACCGGGAGAAAAACGATTTTATTACAAAATCATTTATCACCACCATTGTTAAACGCCTGATGAGTGAGACGTCTTTAGTCGTCGAAACAAATATGCATCTTTGTTGCGGCAACTTGCATGTTCCAATGTAACAGTTTATAAAAATATTTATTGCTCTACTTCTTGTATTGAGCACTTTTTTAAATTAATGTTATGAACGTTTGAATTTATATTCTTTTCGTTCTTTTACATTTGTATATATATATATATATATATATATATATATAAAAGAGAGAGAGAGAGAGAGAGAGAAACATATATGTGTGTGTGTGTGTGTGTGTGTGTGTGTGTGTGTGTGTGTGTGTGTGTGTGTGTGTGTATGCAAAAACAAAAGGGAAACTTATCTTAGTTGACGCGTTTCGTTCTCTAATGGACTTTATGAAGGCAAATATAAGGAATTTATATTCAAGTATTTACAAACAAAATTAAAATATTGTTAGATTTTTAAATTTTTTAAATTTAAGAGACGCTCATTCGTCAGGTTAAAATTCTAAAATTTTGAAAAGCTGATAAGATTTTTACTTTTTTATATAAATATATGTAAAATAAAATCCTTACATTTATCTTGATAGAGTCCATCAGTGGACAAAACGCGATGGCTAAGATAAGTTTTCCTTTTGTCTTTATTCATATTGTCCTTTTACAGATATATATTTTAGTTATATCTGAAATCTCATGCACATATGAAAGCCTATTGGCGAGTTCCTGCTGGTGTCGAATACGTTTTCTGATGGCTGAAGTAAATCACCAAAAAAAAACCTAACATACATTCACTGTTGGTTCTGTTTAACAGAAGGACTTCTGCTGAAATATACACAGTTTATTATATATGCATATACATAAATGCTTACATATGCATACACATATCTTCTTCTTCTTATTCTTATTCTTCTTCTTCTTCTTCTTCTTCTTATTCTTATTCTTCTTCTTCTTATTAATCTTCTTATTCTTCTTCTTCTTCTTCTTCTTCTTCTTCTTTTTTATGGCTTTACACAACTTTATGTCCTTTTAAAAATAAAAAAACAGAGAGTGTTAAAGGGAGATAACCGCGGATTCAAAGTCGGAACATTATCATTGATAACTCTCTCCTCCATTTTCCGGACGCTATTCTTAATATTTTTTATAATGCAAAAATATCACAATGATAAAATCGGTTCAATAATTATTTATAACTGTTTATACTGGGACTCATTCATGCAATTATAAGTCATCCATAATAATATTTTAAATTTTGAAATCATATTTATTTTTGGTATATGAATTTTTTGAAACTGTTTCTAAATCTTTGATTGTCTTTCAATCATTCCGCCTCACCTGCTATCCTCTTCCGCCTCACCTGCTATCCTCTTCCGCCTCACCTGCTATCCTCTTCCGCCTCACCTGCTATCCTCTTCCGCCTCACCTATAAGGCGCAACGCACAGTTTGGGGAACCACTGCTGTAGATTATACACATATACGTTTACCAATGCCTCTATATTCCTCTCCTTTTTTTTCTTTCGCTTACTATACAGATACTTTTATTAAATTTTTGTTTATATTTTGGTAAATGAATGTATTTGCATTTTCTTGTTTAGATATCTGTATAATTTTCTCGCCCTCATAAAAATTTTTCTTTTCTCTCCTCCCTCTCATTCCCAATTTTTTCTCTCAATTTTTCCAAAATTCCCAGATTTTTCTCCCTCCTCTCATTTCCCACTTTTCTCTCGCACTCCATCCCTCTCATTCCCACGTTTCTCTCTCACTCCCTTCCTCTCATTCCCACTTTCACTCCCTCCCTCTCATTCCCACTTTTCTCTCTCTCCCTCCCTAACTCGAGCATTGATTTTTTTCGTCGACATGCCAGTCTTTTTCAGTTTATTCCAGCTTCATTTGCCTCATTCCGAACTCTCAAATACGTTCACTTTCACTTCCTTTTGACGGCTTTTACTCTCTTTTTTTTCTTCGCAATTTCATTTCTCTTTCTTTCTCTTCCTCGTTTAACCTTTGTCTCTTGTCGGCTTTATCTCGTTTGAGGTCTTAATTTCTACTTATCTCCCAAGCCTTTGTCTATTACTGACGTATAAACACTATTTACAAAACAAAGATTACTCATATCAATCTAAGCCTTCTTTTAAGACATTAGCTTTATATTAAAGATCGTGTTCACTTTCATCTGACCAATTCGTTGCATTAAACACAAATAAATATTGAAATAGAAGTCTTTCCACTTGCTGTTTGTAAACACTTTTCTTATATTTTATTTGCCCTCATGTCTAAGCAAGCACAGTGATCGCTGAGATAAAAACCGTTTTAGAAATCATCATTAAGTTTCGTTTCGTTCATTTTGTTTCAATTCGACACCAAAACAACAGAGTAAAAAAAATAAATACTGATCACAATTGAAAACTAAGACGCTTTAATATTACGGGAACTGAAAGTCGTCTGCTCCCAGGAAATTAGTTCAATGCATTAAAACGTTTGTTCATATTTTCCAAAAGTAAGTCCTTATGCCAAACAAAATAAATATTTACTTATCTAGTTATCAGGAACGTGAATTACGATTTCAGTATTTTATATGCGACTCAAACTCATCATAGCTTTACTTCAGCAATTTAACTTACTATTTCTTCTTCTTCCTTCTTCTTCTTCTTCTTCTTCTTCTTCTTCTTCTTCTTCTTCTTCTTCTTCTTCTTCTTTGTATCATGTCACTTTAGGACGTTGGTGATCATGCTTCTCCACAATTCCCTACCTTTGCATCTGTTAGTAAAATTTGTCTTTTTTGCTGTCTCTTCTAATCCCTGTTGTCCCAACAATTTACTCATGTGTATGTTGTTTATCTCTGTCCATCCTGTTTTCAATATGTCCTGTGAGTGTGAAAATTTTCAAGCCATCTTTTCTCATTATACGTCTGCAAAATATCACCTTTATCTTTCTGAGGTTAAGTGTCAGTGTCCATTTTCTTCAGTTTTCTCTAATATAAGGGGACCGATATTACATACATATTTAAGTACTCTTAAATTTACGAATCTACATTTCGGACCTATTTTCAGTACGCATAATTCTTTACAATTAATACGAATGTTAAGGATTCGAACAAAAAGTCAAGCCAGGCGCGGGTGGCTCCCCTCGGATAAAAAATTGGAGCAATATACTCTTCGGATCTCCTATATAAAACTATTTGACTTTGCGCTAAGCTTAATAAAGAAAATAGACACTTTCCATTAATTCTATGGTCGTAACTTTCTTTACTCCAAACAGAATTATATGATTTACTAAGCGTAGATAAGATGCGACACAAGACCGACGATTGTGGCGGTGGTATTAACGATTCTGTTAACGTCAAACAAAAAAGAAAGAAAATTGTATTTAAACTATTGAATTGCGATAGATTGGGCTTAATGGTAGGACATTTTATTACTCTCTTAATGGTTGGGGTATGTGTTCTGATGTAAGGGATAATGAATACTCGGAATAAGAAATTGGAGATTCGAGTTCGAATTCCAGTCGTGTTCGTACATTCATTTACGCGGAAAGGCATGAAAGGTTTTATAGCAGGACAGGCTAAGTCCGATAGCCTTGTTTGGCAACCAGTCTACCACAAGAAAAAATGGGAACTTACTGTGGGGTAAATTTTCTGTCTTATCGGTCATTGATCGAAAGTGACATACTCGCCCAAGCGTGTATTACGTATGGCACTTAACTGACTGATATGCATGTTATCTGTTACTGCTACTCAATCTTAGCAGTATAAGCTATGAGAATGATACTGTGTTGATGCCATACACAGAAAGGGAACTGAAAGTAGTAATGGAAAGCAAGAAGAAAGGACTAAGTGTTAACTTGTTATAGTGGAACACACCTATTCTTTAGTTAATAGACTCTCCCATCTATAATAAGTAAGAGTAGTAATAGTAACGAATGGTCGCTCAGTGGGTCGGTCAGTCAGTCGATGCCGGACGACCGTTAGTCGGATACTAAAGTATCAGCGACCGCAACTAGATTTCTCTACGTCATTACCTATTATATCAAGTTCCTAACGTTTTGTACGTCGAACCTATTTAAGGACCGACTTAGTACAAATACAAGCCCCCACTGTGAAACCACTCCATAGCATAACTATAAGAAGACAGAATATCTGGTCCTCAGCAAAAAAGATACTCCAAGGTATGTACTGAGAAAGTCAAATTCCAGTAATGGATAAACTGATGACAGAAAAAGGAAAAAAAAGAAACGGTATGGGGTTAAAAGTTACTTAGAACAAAAAAAGCGGGACTTTACGCAGAAGCAGAATCGCTCACATCCTGAAGAAAAAGTGCACGTAAATACGAGGTCCGATCAAAAAGTATCGAGACTCTTGCTAAAATATGCAGAGTGAAGACGCTTGACTCAGATAGAACTTGAACTCTGTTGCGCATACACACTAACTTATAACGTTCTCAACCGCTACCGTTGCTTGGAAGGAAAGTGTGTAGAGTGTGGTCGTCTCATCAGACCAAAGACATTCCATCAGTGACTATGACTTGTGCAGCGGCTTTTGGCCAAGTACAATATTCCCCAGATCCGACAGCCACCAGATCTCGCTTGTTGCGACTTTTTTCTATTTTGAAAATCAAATATCCCACTCGAAAAGAAACAAGATTTTAAGACGTCGAAGAGCATGCGACGACGCAGCTTCTCGCTATCCCCCCCCCAAAAAAAAAGAAGTTCCAGGAATGCTTCCCTCAACTGAAACCCCGCTGGATAAAGTGTTTGGCTTCAGAAGGGATCTACTTTGAAGGAGATTAACTGCAGAATTGATATGTGTCGTAGTTTTCTCTTTATAGCACCAGTCCCGATACTTCTTGATCAGTTCCTCGTATAGACCAGATAAAAACCGGGTTTTCAAAGACTGGTATACATTTTTACCTCACATTTCCATCCACTTGTCTTCAGGCTCCTTCTATGTGCCGTGTCCCTTCAAGACGTATGCGGTCCTATCTCTTGGGACTGTACTAAGTTTGATAAATACGAAAAACATTGTCACGTGATTATTTGGTTTGTTTTGTTTTGAAGTATATTAACTTTTTTCATGTTATTTTAGTATATACTGAGACTACCGTCCCAGAGAAACAATTATTTTCAATATGCTCACTATGTGACCTGCCTGGACATATAGAATTTGGTTAACATCAATGGTTAAAACCAGCTTTGAGCGAGTGAAGCCTGAATATCTTGGCACACCATCTCTCTTTGCACATTATAAACTGACTCTGCAGAACCAAAAAGAAAGAACTGTACCAAACAACAGAAACCACACCACTTGAGGAATACCAACAGCAGCAACAGCTAAAATGAATAGCACATATAACTCGAAGAGAAAACAATGACATAATCAAAATGTTGACATTCCACACTACTTCAAACAAAAGGTTAAGAAGGAAACCCCCATCAATACTGGGAAGAGCTGTAACAGCTACTGGACTTGAGAAATGTATTTTCCTGAAAAATTGTTTTAAGTGGAAGATTTTTATAAATTCAAATCGAAAGCAGTACTGACTGCTCGGTCGATGAATAACAAACGTTTCCTTATAGGGAAACAGCTAATATTACTATTGCCATTATCATTGTCGAATTCTGTCATTTTGATAAACAATAGGTAAACAGAGGTGCGGTTTCCAAGAACGTCAGAAAGATAGACTTAGGCCCACTTTGCACGAGAGTCAAAAAGACAGGCAGGACTCTCTCTCTCTCTCTCTCTCTCTCTCTCTCTGGTACCTTCTCTCGCCATCTCTCTCTCTCCCTCTCGCTCTCTCATTCACTCACTCACCCACTCTTCCGTATCTCTCACTATCTCTCTCTCTCTCTCCCTCTTTCTCTCGCTCTCCCTCTGTATGGTAGTTTTTTTTATCTTTCTGATGCCCAACATATTCTCATTCTTTCATAAATTTCCGATATCGTTACCCATAATTCCATATTATCTTCATTTGTATCTATTTCTACAGACGTTTCCTCTTCACGTGTTCTTTTTCTGTACATTGCCAAAATGCGTCTCAGTGAGAGAGCGCTCGAGCGCGTGCGCGCATGTGTGTGCGTGTGTGTGTGTGTGTGTGTGTGCACTACACTATTTTCCCTTAAAACTCTTCTCTTCCCTCTTTTTATATTTTTCACTAAACGTTTCTCCATCATCTTCTCTTCTGTATAAACCACTATTATTCCCCACCTCTCTCTGTCTCTATCTCTGTCTCTCTGTTTCTCATTCATTCTTTCTTTTTTTTTTTCATACCTTACTAAAAACATTTTTAAAATGGTGGAAAAATCGCGGCAAATGACCCGGATAGAAACGCTATTAAAAATTAATATGTGCCAAAAATGAGTTTCAAGCATTTTTTTTTTCTTTTAAATACAAAATGCCAAACATAAACTATTTAATCTCACCCACCTCTGTCTTCACTCCACGCCATTGATATCGAGAAATTATAGAAAAATATTCTATAATTTTTCTCCAGATCTAATATTCCTAGTATAAAATTTTATAAAAGTCGAAATATTGAATATAAAAGTTATAACAGCATTTTTTTTATGATAATTCCATTTTATTTGTTTGTTTCCAGTGTTTATTTTACATCACCCTTTGATTATTCTGATGATGACGACTACGATTATAATTTTGATGATGATGATGATGATGACGAGGATGATGATGATGATGATGTAGGAGAAATCGTCTAATAAAACAAATGCTTTTACAAAATAAAATAGATTACTGCTTTGATCATTATCCTCATTACCGAAACAAAGTGAAGAGAATAACATGATTCAAGCAACGATTAAAAAGACGAAAAATCAAGCGAAGAAAAAGAATTACAATAACAACAGGAACAACATCGCCCATTACGATAATGGCGGATTCTCTTTTAATAACGACATCCACGATTCTGTTATAGATTCCTTAATATTTAAATATATTAAGTGTACGGATTGTAACATTAGGAAATATTCTTATTCTTATCCTCCCCTTCATTATTTTTCTCTTCCAACTCCTACTTTTTATTCCCCTTCTTCCTCTTAACCTCTTCCTTCTTCTATCCTCTTTCCTAGCCTCCTTTTCATCATTCTTCTTTTCCACCATCTTCTTTATTTTCGTTTATGCTCTGCTTCATTCTACTTCTTCTTCTCTTTCTTATTTTTTCTTCTTTTTCATTTTCTCCTCTTATTCTTCTTCTTATCCTCTTCCTCATTCTTCTTCTTCTTCGTTTTCTTCTTCGCCGTTTTTTTTCTTTTTCTACTCTCATTCTTATCCTCCTCTTTTCTCTCCTTGTACTTTTCCTCATTCATCTCCTTATCCTCTTTCTTCTTTGTCTTTTACATTTTCTTTCTCTTTTCTCATTCTTATTCCCCTCATTTTTCTTTTTATACTCTTCCTCGGTCTTCTTCTCTTTCTTCTTCGTTCTTTCTTATTTTTTTCTCTCATTCTTCTCTTCCTTCTTTTCCTTCTTATCGTCTTTCTCATTTTTTCTTCTTATCCTCTTCTTTTTCTTCTTCTTTCTCTTCGTTTTCTTTTTCTTCTTTCATTCTTATCCTTATCCTTATCCTTATCCCCTTCTTCTTCTTCCACCTTTTCTTCTTACTCTTCTTCTTCTTCTTCTTCTTCTTCTTCTTCTTCTTCTTCTTCTTCTCATTTTCTTCCTCTCTTTCTTCTTCCTCTTTTTCTTCTATATTTCTTCTCTCATTTTTATCCTCCACATTTTTCTTTCATCCTCTTCCTCATTATTCTTCTTTTGCTTCTTCGTATTATTATTATGTGGCGATTATAAACCATAAAATTGTTCTTATTGATATCGTATTATAAACGATTTTATTGATAATGACGATTATTATTAATATCAATTATTATCATCATGAATGTTCTAATTATTGATGATAAATTTAATAATTATTATTACTACTTCTACCACTACTCTAATCATTATTGAAGAACTTTTTTTCGTGTCTTTCTGATTTTCTTTTTTTAAAAGATACTATTTCATGAAAAGAAAATATATTTAAAAAAAGATATGTATGAACAACATTAAATTCTTGTCTTGCCAATTTTCCGTTAAAGACATTTCGTTCTGCTAATTTGATTTTCTCGATTCCAGGAGTGTTAGTGTCATCCATCATATTCAAAATGGCGTCTCTATCCAAGTTACGCATCAGCTCTTTCCTAATGTCCATCTGTGTGTTTTCCCTTTTATCTGTATGCGCACGCGCGTCTGTGTATGTGCGTGTGTGCGTTACGCAGTATAAAACTGTTGAGGTTTATGAATTTCATGATTCTGTGTCGATATTCACATCGAAGCAATCCAGAGCGCGACCTCTCAACTAATCAAGTCATAGAGAGATGAATTTCAACAAACCTACCGATTGACATCGCTAAATATAATATAGTCAAGTGTATTTTGGCGCCATCGATTGAAATCTAAAAAGATATCAACTGTTGCTTTTAAGCGTCATCATAATTTGTAAAGTTTACAAATAAAGCTCGTTTAAGTTTTCCTTATAAAATAAATTATAGCCTCTTATAATTTCTCATCAATTGAATCATTAGTTTGTCTTTTATTGTCCAACAATGTTGATAGCGTGTACCCGAGTTAATATTCATTGTTTTAGAATACCATACTTGTTGTAAATATCAATTTTAAATGTCTTCTTCATATTTTGTTCCTCGGCATAAATTTGTTTCAATAAACTTGTTGTGTATGTATTGCTATACTTCGCAGAAAAACGGAACAGAATTTAAAACGATTTCTTAAAGTGAACGAATAATAATACCTCTTCGCAAATCAGGCACAAGAACGAGACCTTATAATGGCGAATATTCTAAAGTGTTCTGATTGAAAGAACGCTTTTTCAAAAATAAAATAAAATAAAATAAAAACACCCGAACTCATATTAACACATTCAAGAAATGACGGCTTTGTCAGTGTATCGTAAATGAAAGAAAAAATTATATAATAATAAATATTGAATAATTTAAGTTACAAGAAAGATTTGCAATCATGAGTAAATAGTGTTAAAATCTTATCCGTGAGTTCTTATAAGTGAGTCTTCTTGTGTAAAAGTTGCTTTTAACTCTTTTTGATAGATTTTATTTAATCTAATCAGCTTTTAAAATTCTGTTCATACTCCAAATAGAAATCTGTGTATAAAGAAATCAATAGTAATGTATTTTTTAACTCTTGCTTTAACATTAAAAAAAAAACATTATTTTCCTTTATATTTTTAGTTATGACAGCAAAACATTAATATTTCTGCTTTTGTTGTTTTAATGAAGCAATAATTGTGAGCTTTCTTTTCAGTTTATTTCTTAATGAAGTTTCATCTAAATATAAGAATTTCAAAACCCTAAAATGAACAGTTAAAGTTTTTTTTTAAACGCTTCTAAATATCTTCATTGAAAGTTCAAGGGGAAAATCCAAGAACGGTTTCTGAACTTTTAATACTATTTCCCGTTCCCTACATCAAAGATTTTGGATGAGAAAAAACGCAATAAATAGATAGATAGATAAATAGATAGGTAGGTAGATAGATAGATAGATAGATAGATAGATAGATAGAAAAATTAGGTTTTTCTTTCATTATTTCTTTGCTGCTATTCTGTTGTACATTTTTTATTATGCATGTTTGCATCAACTTTGGTGTCATTTTTATACTATAAAGGAAGATTCTCACCGAAATATATCTGTTTTTTATGACAGATGCATATGTATCTTGTCGATATAGAATAAATACCTAAGACTAGAATGTGCAAAAAAATTGATAAATTTTATAATTTTTATATCGAGAGAGAATTTTATTATTGACAATCTGACTGTTCTATTAATGCTAGTCTTTCTTTAAATAAATGCTAATTCGAATGAAGTGCAAACCCGTTTCAATATTAACAGTGACTTTCACCTTCGTGTCCTTTCAGACCGTGGTCGCTCATAGCGCTCCACAACTTCCTATCCTTTGTAACCATAAGCAATATTTATCTCCTTACTATCCCCCTCAATCCCTATTCATTCATCCATTTACATAAGCTTGTTAGAATGTTACTTACTGTTCCCCCTGTTTCATTTACCTTCGATATTTCATGTGAGTGTCAAATTCTCCAAGTCCTCCTTCCTTATTATAATTTAATAGAAATTTCAACTGCCTCTTCTGATTGTAGGTATACATGACCTTTATGTTTTCATTTTCCTTATAATTTCCTCATTGTTCACATGCTCCCTCTATGTTATTCTGAACATACTTCTGTAGAATCACATCTGTTACTTCGAGTCTCCACGTCATCTGTGAAATGTCCAAGATTAATTATTTTCACGGCTTATGAACCTTTTGTAGGTTATTAAAGCAGAAACATATTTTTTAATTGCAATTTTTTAATTGTTTGGAAATTGAATTTTGTATTAATAATTTTTTGGAGATAATAATGATTTTTCAAATAATATATCTGGCCACTCATATTCGATGATACCCGTATACTAGGGCGACTAGCCAATCCCTATTGCAGACGTTTTCTCAGGTGCATTTGTGTTTATTCATCACCCACAGAGCCCACCTGTGATTTATACTGCAACTATGCTGAGCAGAATTTTGTTATAGTTTATGGGAAAAATCGTTTTATTTAGCGTGATTAACAATTTGAACAAGGCCAGCATGCGCAAGCCCTCGGCTATAATGAATTGTGACTTCGTTCTAGCACAGCTATCGATGGCCCTCAAGGGTTCCGTCTACCCAATTTTACTCACAAGGCTTCGGTCAACCCGTGGTAGGGTTTTCAGGTACTTTCCAAAACTGCCGCACGCTGGGATCGATCCCCTCCAGACCGATAACATCAGGAAGTCTCCTTCCTGACAAATCGACCATGGTGAGTTTCGAACCCGGGTCACATGGTTGAGAATGAGAACGTTCTAACAATTT